TGACTTGCGTGACTGCTACACAAAAAAATACACGATAAACTATGTTTCTAGGTTTTAATGAGTTGCGAAAATTAAATAAACTGACTTGAATGAAAGATCAAAACTCCTCATATATATCACGTGTCCTGTATCGTGTGGTATAGGCGAGTACCTCACGTTTATTGAATTATTCCATTCCATAAACGTGAGCGTAGTCACCACATCTCTTCGTTCACTCTCAGGCCCCTTCAGAGAGCTCTAGGGTTCCCTAGAGAGACCTTGAAGCTTCACTGGACCTTGGATAACGAAGAAATAGACTTTCAACGGAGCGCTTTGAGTCCCGGCCATCTGTTACGAAGTTAAGAGGCTTGCCGTTTCAAATGCCGCTCCGCTCACTCTCCGACCTTTCTAGCGGACATTACATCGGAAATTCAAATTTCCTGTTTCCAGGAGGAAATACTGTTCCCGATCTTTCCTTTTATTCATTAAAAGTATTGCCCTTATAGTTCCTCGTCTAATGTCACGCCATTAGATTTCCGTCTCTTTTCTGCTTTCTTTTCCCTTCCCGCCGCTAATTATCCTACCATTTTCCCGCCATCGCCATGTCCTTTTCAAGGTGCACTTGATATTCCTAAATAAATAGCACTACGTTCTTCCGCCGGAAACTAATAAGGCTTTCGGACACATCAATTTCAGATGCTAAATAAAAAGGAACACTCATTATTCTGGATAATCATTGATAATTTTTTAGAAGTCGATGAAGATGATCACACCAACTATTCTATTGTCTGTGGATTGCTGCAAGAATGTTCAATGTCAGTTTATTGTGATTTTCGGTTTGTATGGCCAACGTGTGCGTTAAAGCCCTTTCTTTCAGTGTAAGGAAGGCCAAAAAGTCGAGTCTGTCTTATAATGTCACATAGATTTACATTGGCCTACGATTGTTTTGTCATTTCGATTGTGTAAGAAAGCCATCCATGCTGTAAAACTTTTAATTTTGATATTGGCTCTTCTTGTTCAAGCCAAAGATTTAGAAAAACGCGAAATATTTGTCTATTTTTGTGATCTGCGACATCAATTACAATTTTTTTCACTTCAGCTTACACTCCCTGGAACCTTTGTTTCAGTCCCTTCTCAGTACCTCATTCTCTCAATATCTTCTCGTACTCTCCAGCAAACAGAATATAGGGAAAGTAACAAGACAATAAAAACACAGAAATAACCATTTTTGTTACAACCGGTGTTTTAATATTCGTAATGCTAGTGTTTTACAAACATTATGATAATATAATGAAATTCTCTTTCAAAGCAAAGGTCTCCTATTATATAGCGGTAACCAAAAAAGGTAGTTTAGTGAGCCATCGAAGTTAGTACTGTTTGGCATGTATATTGTTCTTTTCGTTAAATGTTAATCGCACTTTTACTGTTACTTTTAAAAATATACTGTCGCTAGTGTACGCAGTGTTGTATTGTCACTATTTAGAAGATAGGGTAGATAGTGCAATTTAATGTGGTACTTAATTTTAATTCATCACTCTTTAAGTCCCCAACTCAACCGAACACTTCAGAAAATAATCGATTAAAAGTGTTTTATCGTAAGAAATGGTTGGGGATTGTATACGACCACATAGTTGTCTGGAAATTACTTTTTGTACGTGTCAGAAGGAAAGTTTCCAGTTTTGACGCGCCTCGCCGATCGAAGCTCTAGTTCTGGTCGTAACAAAACTTCGCGTGGCAGCTCCCGCAGTTACAACCACCGCCAGATGGGCTGCTCCGCTTCGCCGAACCCCCCGCCTAGAGCACGCCATCTCGCCTTGTAGTTGCACTCCGCTCCAGCCCGCGACATTCTTGTCCGACACGACTCGTCTGCACCGCGAACAGGGCCTCTCCCAGTCGCTAAGCTGGTCTCCGCCCCCGCCCCGCCTTCCCCCGGTCTCCACACTCGCCTCCGCTGCCGCCTCCATGCTCCCCTCGGCCCCCAGTCTCTGCCTGCCGCCCCCGTCTCCGGCACGCCCCTTCTCTCCGCCTCCGCTCTCCTCCCCGCCCCCGCCTCGTGCCTCGCATGACCTTGCATTTGCCGCCTCCATCGCAGTCTGCGCAAGTCACCGTTGTGCACCGGGGCTTTGCTTTCACGGGAGGTTTAAACCGAGACAACGCCCGATGCACAGCGCAGATTAAAAGGCACTTTCAAGGAACGGCGAGAAAAGATATGCTGTTCTTTCTACGTGAAATAAATTCCACCTATTAATAATAAATTATGAAGCGGCAATAGCTGATTTAAAAATCTTTACTTATAGAGTAAGGACATGGAAACCTAGAACTCGAAGAAAAGCCGATGGCAAAGATAGAGCCACGGAATTAACATATTTGGGAGATGTGCGGTGAAAAAAATGTGAAGGGAATTGGTCAATAAAACAAGAAATCGATTGGTTAGCGAAAGATGTAAAATGTATTTACAACAGCGTACAGTGATCTGAAGTTTATTTAGGGAATAATGTTGTTCAAACTTACCGGGTGCCCAGGACAAAGTTATTAAACTGCTTCAGGATCTATACACCTAAATGCACGGCAACTTGCGCTCAAAATAAAAACATAATTCCTCGCACTTACAAATACACAAAGTATTTCTTTACTATGATTATTATTGCTCGCGATTTTGCTTATGGCCGATGATTCGTGAGTAGATGACAATGACAATAATGGAATGAAAAATTAAAGGTAGAGAAAACAGGCGAACACCTGTTACCTACTGCAAACTCTAAGTTCAAACGCAAATTCCACAGCTAAGTAGTGATTTAAAATCCAGAGGTGAGCTGACCTACGGCACGCAGAACGTATGAACGTACTATTCAGAAACTCAGGAAATTGCTGAGGCATGGTTATGAACTCTTATATCATAGCTTATGCAGAACTCCAGAAAATTTTAGCCAGTATCAGTAATTAAAATAAGAACAATAAGGTAGTTGTATAAATTTGTACTCTGAAATAAGACTTTGCTGTCGACTAATATGTGGTCAAGAATAAAGGAAGAGGCACAAAGCAAGATTTTAAATATATTGAAACTCGTGGTATAAACTGAATTGGAAAAACTTTTCACAATGGAATTCGAAGTTAAAATAAATCGCCCTAGGCTCAGGATGTTGTTGAAAATGTCGATCGCCTACCGATAAATTTGTTTTGCAGTATATTAATTTACATGCATCATTTTGGTTAATGAATAACTTTAATCTGAGAGAACAAGGAATTGGGAAATTTTTTTATACATTTTTTCATTCTCTTTTCTCCCTTCCTATACATACATCTACAATATAGTCAATCGCATGCTGATTACTTGCGTCAAAATATTTAAAACTCACAACCGGATTCACATCATATCACATTTGTTTGTGCGTACTACTTCGCGTCGATAAGATGATGAAACTAACCGATCACGGACGTAGGAGTGACGAAAAATCGCATTAGGAAAAGACACGATACGTTGTCGAGAACAGTTCTGACGTAGGAAAAAGTGGTCCAGTCGTGGATGAAATTAACACGAGCCAGATCCGATATTCTAGCTTCCTCTTGCGGCTTACCTCACTTTTTAATACTTGTTTTGCGTTCGCATCACCTTTCGCGGTAAACTCAGGTGAATGGCCAGGATGCGCAAGAGTTTATCGGAAAAATTATCAAACGTCATGCCACCAGAATTGCAAATATTTGATCTGACAAATCCCAAAACACATGAGGTATGGAATAAGACTACCACGAACGAAAATAATATTTAAAAAATCTGAAACTGTATTAAAATCATGTATACAACTAATAAAACATACGAGTACTTGCATACAAACTTAGCAAAAATCAATTATTTACTTATCAGTGAAAAGAAACACGAATGATGAATATGGAGAGGTTATAATATTAATGATAAAACTTAACAGATAATTCGTTTCTGATTGGTTGACACACGAGACGTTCTTAAACCTTGTTTCTTGTATGTATGAATATCATTCAAGTAGCAAAGAAGACTCATCACAGTCTACATTTTCCTTACGAAAAGTAATGAATTTATGGTGAAGAACATATCCAACGTTTCTTATCTTTCAGGATAATTAAATCATATTTTTTAGGTATAAAATGGGTTCTAGTTATTAATACGCCTTGACTGTCAGAGGCGAAGGGAATCAGGATCGCAAAATAGTATATGTGCAGTGTAAGTGAAAATTTACTCACTGTAATGATATTAGGCATGGCATATCAATGCAACTGCAGCAGTAGCGTTTCTTTTTCGTTTCTTCTACTAAAACAGAAAAATCATTGTTTTCCTCACTGCTGGCATACTGGCGCGGAGGTTTAGAGCGTTGCCGAATTACACGGAGGCGAAGGATATGAATTAGTATCACTTGAGTGATTTCGCCATGAAATGACGCAGATAGCTGCTCATCCCACAACGGATCACATCCATAATCATTTATCATTTCTCCATCTCCCATACAAGGCAAACCATCAGTGGAATCCTGCTCAAAGAGGAGAACTGAAGTCGTATGCTTGCTCCATTACATACGATCACAAATTGGTGTGTTACTTATCTAAGTAGTACTGCACACAAAAGCAGTACTTATTTTCTTGTATGTGGGGGCAATTCACTGTGTAGTGAGTGGTACGACTGCTCGTTAGCAACTGAACTTCCACTTTTCAATTTTCCTCCTTCCGCCGTTGGGATCCGTTTTCGATCTCCATCAGATCCAAATGGACAACAATAGACTAAGCGGCTGGCGGCATGTGCGAGTATCTTTGGATATCCTCCTTTCCTTCCTCTTGCCTCTCATTCCACTACATTCTCATCTTCATCCTCATACATCACCATCTCAAAGAACAAAACAGCGTTTCCAAGGAATTCTGACGTCGGCTATGTTGATATGTCTGGCTTTGCCACTGTGGCCATCGGGCCGACTACTCGAAATTCAAATTGTGTGATAAATAGCTAACTAATTGAATGAATGAATGAATAAATGAATGAAGTGTGCACTGTTGTGCAGGCGCTGGCGGAGCTGCGCCAGCCGCTGGACACGCGCCACCACCCGCACCTGGAGCGCTTCGAGCTGCAGCTGGGCGACTTCGCGGTGCGGGTGGCGGGCGCGGGCACGCTCGACTACGCGGCCGAGGCGCTGGCCAACGTGCTGCCCAACCTGCTGCGCTCGCACATCAGGGACACGCTGCAGCGCAAGGTGGAGGACGGCGTGCGCGAGGCGCTCAACAAGATCGAGATGCAGGTAACACGCGCCGCCGACGAGCTCGCAGTTCGGCTTGCTCCGATGCGGAGGTCGGTTTCGGAGGGTGGGAGGTCGGTTTCGGAAGGGTGGGCAGGTCGCGTTTCGGGGAGGGTGGGTGAGGTTCGGTTTTCGGAGGTGGGAGGTCCGTTTCGGAGGGTGGGAGGTCGGTTTTCGGCAGGGTGGGAGGGTCGTTTTCGGAGGGTGGGAGGTCGGTTTCGGAGGGTGGGAGGTCGACTCCAGAGAGTTTTTATTTTTCATACCGTATGTATTGTGGTAGTCGTTGTACCTTCCACGATAAATTTATGAATTATATATTTCAATTATTAATATTTAAAACTTCAAATCTCCTTGATCTTTCATATTAACTACTCACAGACGTACATAATATTCTTAGAACTGTCTGCATGTCGAAAATAATCAAGAAATGAGTTGTATTAAAGACGTGTTACATGTTAACTACCAGTGCAGTATTAATGCTATCGTTATTTATGCCTTCAATCATAAGGTTACACACTTTGGTAGAGTATGGTGTAAACGACATATTACAAAACAATGTTCAAACAGTTTCAATTACAAATGATAAGCTCATTTTTACGTTTTTTCTCAAAATAAATTCTTACTTGAAGGCATATAAAAGCAATGAAGTTAGCATCAGTAAATAGATAGAAAATTTAGTTTATTATTATTTTTTCTTGTTTATATTATATTATATTCCCATCATTCCGAACCGAATATATCTCTTGGGTTCTTTTCATTAAACGTTGCCGCAGAAAAGGTATATTTGTATTGTGAAATTGTCTAAATAATTGTGTATTTCATTCTGTCTGTAGGATCTAATACTCACATTTTCACGGCCCGTTCTGTATTACTAATGAATAATGTATGTGCCATGTGTGAACAGACGTTGGTGGAGGAGAGGCTACGCGAGCTGGACGAAATGCAAGCGGCGGCCGAGGAGATGGACGCGGAAGCAGACATTTTTGAAGCTCTGGGCTGAGACGCTGCTTCCGGGAACCAATCCGAAGACTCCCGACAGAACCTCACCGCAAGGCGTTCCCACCCATGACGTCATTTCCCCCGTGACGCTAAGGACAATCAAGTTGACGGTGCGTGGCTTTTGGGCGTAGGTTTGACCTGTGTAGACTTGAACAGAAGTGGATGTAGTATTACAAACGGTGGCTGGCGGTCTCGGTGTAGTTCAGAGTGCGTTATGGTGAGAGGTTGACAGAATTCATTTCATTATAGACGTTATAGACTCCTTTTCTCTATAAGAGAGGAGCAAACATTTTGTGGACGTAACACAATTATTCAATACGTTACATTGTCCGCCAGGAAAGTCCCTCCGGACTGGGCTGAATCAGGGCCTCGTATTAAAAGTTGCATGTATGCTGGTAGCAACCAGATCACTGGGGACAAAATAAAGGGGACAACACTTTCAGCACCTGTTATTATTGTGGTGCGTTTTCTTTTGTTACAAGCTACAGCTCGTGCTACCAACATAATGTTTGTTGCACCCACTCACCAGCAAGGTACCACTGCGGAGCGACTTTCCTGGTTCCATGTACTAGCCTATTTTATAAGAAAATATACTTTTTAATTTGCTTGAGAGAACGTGCTTTCGTTGAATTTGTATACTACTGATAGTTACTTTGAAGTGATTACCTTAAAGAATGCTATTTAAGATCCATTTGCATTTTTTGAGATCAACACATGGAACGTTATCTGACAAGAAATGTGCAGACTAGTATCACTCGTTCACTGTGTACGATATCACCGCGCTATTGTTAGAATGATCTCGCTGTGTAATTTTTATTGATGGTGGTGAATTTCTCTTTTTATAATCAGACCACAAAGTTTACATCTTATTGTTTAGGAAATAATGCGGAATTTCCCTGGTATTGTCATTTCAGACCATCAAATGAGGAAATGAGAATTGTGAATTCGGAAATTCCGTTCATCCTTGCATGATTGTGCTTCCAGGCGGCATACTTTGATTTAAGATAGTTTATTTTATTCTGAGAAAGTCGAAATATATTCGTTTAGAGGAAAACATTCGTTGAGGAACATTCTAATGTTTTTCAATAAAGTTTTAGTGACCGTGCAGGTCGTCGATTGATATTTGTAAATAACACGCTGAAAAACATTTGTAATCTATTAACTTTTGTAAAAATATAATTTCAATTAAAGAAAATTGGAAATAAGACTTTCTTTTCAAAAAGCATTTTTTTTATCATTGTGTGCACTTAAAATAAGTTAAGTCTCTCTCTTTATCATTCTTTTTGATTTTACTCTCTTCCTCTCCATCTCTCTCGTTTTCTTTCTATCTCATTAAATGCACCTTTTCGTTTCTTTCATACCTGCCAATTTATTTTAAATTAGCGAAGTATTTGTGTTCAAGAGTATGAGGTATAATTGAAATCAATCTGTTTGATTTTACATCTAAATTTAGTTATTTTATTGCATTAATAACTATTTATTTCTGCCCCATCCACCTCTTCACATATGATGATGGCATTTCGACCGTAATTATCTTACTAAGCTATCACAAAACGCCAATATTTCTCTGTAGCATTTCTTCTGTTAGAAGTCGGTGCCTACTTAGATTTACAAGATATTATTTTCTTTAAGCAGAGTTTCTTCGTTTTATTTCTGTGTAATTTGCATTTTCTGTTCCTTTCTTTCTCGGAGTAAATGCCTCTGAGGCTGTTCCCTCATAAAATCATAATTTTACGGCCTTCTAAGTTGTTCGTTGTTCTTCGTGAATAAGTAAACGAATACTATATACATAAGTAAAGAAACTCCCAGATGGAAAGTTCTCTTCGCCCCACATTTCGTGCCCGAAGAGAATTTGGTCTCCGCAGCTGTAGTAGTGACTCACTCAAATGGCGCTAAAAGTAATCCCTGCGGATAAAAACGGCCCTCCGTGTCCACTGCCCGGTTGCACGCGACACAGAGAAAGCATTAAGGCCTGTTGCAGTGGTGCGAAAGCAAAATCCTGTATGCAACGACTATCAGATCGCTCCTTCTTTGCTCCTTCTTTGGCCCTAAATTTCCCTTTTTTTTCATCTGCAATAAAGCGTGTTTACATTATAAAATTTAATTACAATCTTCTGCATTTTAAAACTCTTACATTTCACTACTTTAGACTATTTAATATTAAAGATTACTGAAGCAAATCTGGTATTAATGATATTCAAACGAAGGTATTATTCGAATGAAACGATTTGTGTATGGGTTTCGTTTAAATATCATTAACCCCGGATTTACAGCACCAGTTTAAAGTATTTTTTGCCCTCCTTTAAAATTTAGTTTTCATGACTTATCAACTTATTCACTGGAGTCAAATGTTTGTACTAGAGCCTTACAGACTAATCGGGCCATAGCCCTGTCATTACGACCTAACCTTGACGGCCGTGGGCTCGGGAGGGAAGTAGGTCGCCTCTCCTTATGCCATTCATTGGCATTCGCGTTACCTGTGAGATGCTTTCACCTTGTGAACCAGTTATCTGAACTGTGATGTGACAGTGAAAAGCTACAATTAATTTTGCCCCCTCCGGGAATCGAACTCCGCGTCGCGGCGAGAAAGAGAGCTCACGAGCCACTGGGGAGAGGGTCTATTTACATAAAATGAAAATCCTGGGCCACATTTTCCAAACTAATACGCCCCGAGAAGATCAACTTTCTAATTCTACATATCACGTCAGTTTGAAAATTTTAATGAAGACATTTCTCAAAAAACAGTAAAGTATTGATTTAATACTAATGCTGATTGTACTAATCAATGTATCGATTTTTTTTACTTTTTAACTATTTTGTACCGCGGGAATTCAATTAACAAAAATACCCATATTTTAAGGCGTCCTCGCTAATAAATAATTTTAAAAAAACTATACATTTACTGACATGATATTTAAAAAAAGCATATGAAATGTTAATATACACGGCTTAGAGGACCAATTTTATATTCTGCAGTTACAGCAGGTGACACATCTTTGTATTTTGCTTTTTATTGTAAGTTCTTGACCTTAATAAAACAGACTATGAGATTTTATCTTATTTATAAGAATTTATCTCATGTTATATATTTTAATATATTTTATGATATTTCTTAAAATCCTGACATAAATTGGTATAAAACACTTGTAGTATTTTATTAAGGTCAAGAAACTTACAATAAAATATACATCATAACGGACATTATAATTTGTATTTTGCAGCTGTAAGATTAAAATTATGGAAAATACAGCGCACCCACAGTGTTTTGTCTAAATTGCGCTCTTTTGTGTTTCCTTTCTTCTCAAAATACCTGCCTCAGTAGCCTTTTTTAATAAGTAATTCATAAATGGTATGGTGAGGCAGTAAGTCGCAAACCTACCAAAAAACTGAAATACCAATCAATTACGCATACGCGGTTCCAAACTTATTATCCAAAAGTTTAAAATTCTCTGTCGCAATGTTTTACTCCAAAGCGTCAGAGTTTAAAGTCACAATGTGCACCATATAATCCCGTACTACACAAAGGACGCAGACATTCCAGCTTTACTTTCACTTGTTGGTTATTTCCATATTCTCAATTGCTGGAACTACCAACTGTCTACTGGAAAACCTCTAATATTCTTCACAATTCTGAAAAACGGACTTCAACGGGCATATCATGTTTTGTAATTATATATAGGATATATAAAATAGAATACATTGTACTTATATAATTATACAATATATTATACACAATTATCTGATATATAAAAAACAATGTTTTGTTTTTGGTTGGTTGGTTCGTACTTAATGGTCTGCCCTCACCGTTCATCCGATTGCAATAAAACTTTATTAACTCACCGCTTGCACTTTTGGGAAGAATAGAGGCATAGTACGATGGCAATGTACATAAGACTACGCACATACACGCGTATTGATAATTAATTAATGCTGATTCAAGATCCCCTTAACAGGACATTATACGTAACTGCGCACTACGCAACCCGCCGCACCCTGAAGTTCGTAGTATTGAGAGCGTCATCTTCTACATCTACCGTCACTACGTCGTCGGCATATTCTTCCCCTTCAATTATGAAATTACGCTCAGGAGAGACGGACACAGAGAGGCAGAGGCAGACAGAGACGCGGAGAGAGAAACGATCAGAAAGGGGAGAGAAAGGGAGAGGGAAGGAGAAAGAGAGGTGGAGGGCAGGACATCTGTCCTCCGGGTTCCACTAGTATCTAATATAATTAAGGCTTCGCTTGGTGTAGTTTTCCTTCTTTAATTTTTTTACGGTTCGAGGAATAATCATTCATATGAATCTCGTTTCATTAATTTCTCATGGTCAGCGAGCCGCGATCTTTTCTTGCGAGAGCCATCCTTTGCCGAGTGCTGCCGACGCGAGAGTTTCGCCCAGCCGCCCCGGGCGAGGGCCCCGTGTGCGGCGCGGCGCGGGCGAGGGGTCACGCGAGCGCGTTGCTGGGGGCGTTGCGATGCTATTTGAAAAGGCGTTTTACGACACGGCTGCGTCGGGACGCCTCCGCGCAGATTCTGGCACTCCGCTGCTGCATCAAGAGACAGCACGGAAACTTTAATCCAACGTGTTTACCTTGAAACTAATACAAGAAATAAGACGTAGTATTTTATTAAACTTCGCGTACGGGCCTCTACTGACCACGCAACACAATTCTCTCTCCGAGGCGCAGTTGAATTCTATCCTGGAGAGATCGATGTGTGGAATTATGGGGATCGGCCTTTCGACTGCATCCCTTGGTTAAGACAAGGTTGTTAGCCTTGAATATCAATTAGGAGGGGATAGGATATTATTAATATTATTATTATTATTACTATTATTATTGCTATTACTACTATTATTATAGGGTGAGGGGTGAAAGAACTAGGATGATGATGGGAAGAGTTAGGTGGGGTTGTGGGAGGTAAGAGGTGTTCGAGAACTTTTAGAACCATTCCAGCGTTCGCCTTGTGACCGAGACAAAACACGAAAACCCCGGACAGCATGTCCAGCAGGGATATCGACCCCGAACCTCCCGACTGCGATTACAGCGCGCTCCGCATTTGCGCCACTTTGCTCGGTGTAGTATTTGATGTAAATGGTTTTCCTTCTTAATTTTTTTAGGTTTCGACGAACAACCACACTTTCTTTACCAGCCTCTTCTTCTGGTTGTTTACACTTTATTTACCAGCCCCCACTGATGCTATAGAAGCCACTTCCCGCTGACTGAGATTGGCTAAACCACTCACCTTGGTTCCCAAACATTGTAACGTGTCTGAATATTCGACGTGGGCGGTCTATAATGTACGAGCTAGACAGGTAATTACGCGGTAGGGTCAAAGAAAATTGAATTTATAAAGTGAACCTAAAACTACTCTTACGCGCTACTAAAAAACAACCACCATCTGTACCCTAATTGAAGCAAAAAATTAAGAAAGCCTATTGGTATTAATGTTTGTAAATTTCATACATCCGTGAAGATTTCATGCGACGAAGTACATTTAAATACGCTTAGATGTATGTACATGATATCTCTTCCTATTCATTCCTTCTTTCCGCTCCCTTTTCTCGCCGGATGTTCCTCTTCCTACCGGCCTCGAATCGTTAGGTCGCTGACCTTCTGTTTTTCAAGACTGTCAGACGTCACACACTCATTGTTTCTCTTCTGCACGGAAAACGGTAGTCGTGAATATACAGGAAAAAAAAAGACTGGTAAGAAAATGGCGTGTATATGTATTTCCCCATTTAAAACATTTTATATATATTTTGCAAAATGGAAGGAGTTTGAGAGGTACAAGAAAACAAAAGAATTTGGAGATACAGTTAGAAAGGACGTGATCTACTATCATTCATGCCGTTGATAAAATATCGACTTACATATTGTAAGTGTCCATGCGTCTTTCGTAACTAATTTTTGCAAAACTTCTTAAAAGCGAAGAAGCATTTTTTTTAGCGTGAAAGGAAGTGAACAACTTTAGTAAAAGGAAACTCTGTTAAGAGGAGCTAATCATTCAAATGTCACATTCTTAGTTCCAACTACTCGGTGCAAATGGGTAAGAAAATGGGCATTATGGATTTCCCATTCTTCTGAAAATCTGATTATATCTAATAAACCGCTCTTTACTAAAAGCAAGTCTACCGACTGCAGAATCCATCATTCACATAACGTGTCTACACCTAGTCGGGTATCCCTCAGTAACTCTTGGCATATGTGCAAAAGTGTTTCCACTTGCTGACCCCAAGGCGCTCTTAATGCATTCACCAGCTCCCTGTATCCCCTGTTGCATCGCTCCCACGGTAGCGTTGAGTACCGAAGGTCGCTGGACCGCATTTGACTCCATGGCTGATGCCAGGAGCACTAGTAGCAGAACCAGTGCCTCTTTCCCGCCCCCTCCTCACGAATTCCGTCTCCACTTCTCCTCCCACTCCAGCACCTCGGTCTCGACCTGCAATGGCTCTGCAAACTCTTATGGACGTACCTAGAAATGTGTGGGGAGGGACGTCACAAACTTCCTAAACCATATCAGAACTATATTTTCAAAACAATATTCTTTTCATTTAATCTTATTTATAACTAATATGCATGACATTATTATTATTATTATTATTATTATTATTATTATTATTATTATTTTACATTTATGTAGCAATTAACCCCGTATCTAGTGAAATGTTCAGTAAGTAATTTTCTTTAAGGTCGTTTTCTCGACGGGCTGTAATTTACAGTTTAGTGCTCTTCAGGACATCTCTCTGACAATCTTGTACGAACGCTATCAATTTACTCATCAGCATGACTTAACATTGAAGCGTTATCGTCACTGACCCATCTTCGGTTCCGCTGGCTTCTGTGCAACCGCCTGCATCTCCACCGCTGTCTCCATTTCCGCCACAGTCACAAATCGCATTATCTTTGTCTCTTTTCAAGTCAACAAATACATACAACAAAATTCTCCCATTCCCTTACTCTTTATGACATTCTCTGATGTAATTAAATCCGAGACAATGTTAACGAATATGTGCTTTCATTTGAAAATGTCGCAAACTAAAATTAGACTGATTTTGTAATGTGAAATATGTATGATTTCGTTAGTACTCGAATGAAATATCGTATTCACTAATGAGAAAAGAGGTGAGTATTCTGGGAAGTGAAGAGCACCTACTTGGAAAACCAAATTTTATTCAGTTAAAGTAATGTAAACCCAAAAGACTTTTCCGAGATTTCAATGAGTATCTCAAATATTTGACCAGTTTATCTTAGCTCGCGCCGTCTCCTCCACCGCCGCCGCCACTAACTAGCCTTACAGCAGCTGACCACCCTTCATTCACGCCGCCACCCTACAATACCTGGCAGCTGCTCCGCCCCAGCTCTC